CCCCCCCCGCCTCTTTCTCTCTCTCTCCAGCCCCTTTTGACTTCCCCCTTTCATTTGGGCTTCTTGCCATTTGAATCAGAGATTCCCAAACCTTAGTGAGCCCAGCTGGGGTGGCCCCGTAGTTGAGTGTTGCCCCATACACAAGAGGTCACAGGTTCGATTCCCGGTCAGGGCGCAGGCCTGCGCTGCGGGCTCGGTCCCCAGCAGGGGGCGCACAGGAGGCCGCAGCATGAATGTCTCTCTCGTCGTCGATGCTTCTGTCTCTCGCTCACTTCCTCCCTCTCTCAAATTAATCAATCAGTAAAAAAATCTCAGATGAAACGCACGTCACTCCGTTGCCCCGCCTGCTGGAGTTGAGGGCCTTAGGGGGCGGCGGTGGCGACGAGCGGGGAAACTGCCGTGTTCGAGTTCGCTGTAGGGTCGAAGCCATCTCTTCTCAACCCGGTGTGGCCCCCTCGGCCTCCTCTGTTTGCGGCTCAGGGATGTTTGTTTTCGCCGAGATGGCCTGAGAATAGATACGACGCAGGGCGATGCTGGAGTTGGAACGCGTAGTATTTCAGAACGAGGCTCGGTTTTCGTTCTGCGTTTCTGGGCTCGCCGGTGTCGTCTCACCCAGGCCGGACTTTGGGCTCCTGGTTGGTTCGTGCCAGGTCCCTGGCAGCCGGGAACTTGGGTCTGTTCCGTTTTCTGAAACGGCCTGTGTGCTCCTTTCCAGTTCCTTCCATTCCCCTCGACGTCCTCTCCGCGTCCAACTCCTCCTCCCAGCTGATCGTGAAGTGGAACCCGCCCTCCCTGCCCAACGGCAACCTGAGCTACTACATCGTCCGGTGGCAGCAGCAGCCCCAGGACAGCTACCTGTATCGGCACAATTACTGCTCCAAAGGTAGGGCCGCCGGGCGGGGGGACCACAGCGGTGAGCTCATGCCCGGTCCCCGACGGGACACAGGTCAGGGACCGGCCGCTCTCACTGGGCCTGTCCTTTCTGAGCAGACAAAATCCCTGTCCGGAAATATGCCGGCGGCACCTTCGACATCGAGGAGGTGACAGAGAACCCCAAGACCGAAGTGTGCGGCGGAGAGAAGGGACCCTGCTGCGCGTGTCCGAAAACCGAGGCGGAGAAGCAGGCCGAGAAGGAGGAGGCCGAGTACCGCAAAGTCTTCGAGAACTTTCTGCACAACTCCATCTTTGTGCCCAGGTGCAGTGCCTCCTGAGGCCGTGTCCGGGCTGGGGCTCCCCCGGCGNGGTGCCTCCTGAGGCCGTGTCCGGGCTGGGGCTCCCCCGGGGGCTCCTGTCGCTTTCTCTTGGCCCTGGGAGTTCGTAGGTGGGCGGCCCCGGGGTGGAAGCGAGTCGCCGTCGAGGGGGGAGGAGCATATTAGGCCATGGGTTTGGCGGAGCGGGGTTCCCGTGGGGGCCGGTAAGCCCCGAGGGGAGAGGGTTCAGGGCTCGTGCTGTGGGGCCACCAGCGGGACAGGGGCAGCTGCCTCGCGGCCACGTGGCCTCTTGCAGGGCAGAGTGGCCCCTGTGAGGCTCCGAGAATCAGAAGGTTTGAGGACTGGAAAAAAGCTCAGAGGCGTTTGGAAACTAGAGCTCAGGGTTCGTGTCTTCCCCAGCACCCGAATTCATTAACGTGGGTTTGGGACTTGGTCCTGCCTTCCCTCCCCAGAGCTCTGTCTCTTCCTGGCACTGCTTCTCTGCCGGGTCACCCTCCCAGCACCCCAGCCAGCAGAGGCCCAGCTTGTGTCCCTTCCTGTGGTAACAGCGTCTTCTGCTGGGGAGCCCCTGGGCCAAGCAGAGGGGGAGCAGAGGTCCCTTTGCCCAAGCTCCCTGCTGTCATATCCCCTTAGAGGTTTCTCACTTTGCAGCATAGAAGGACCAGTGGGAACCCCCAAATGGCTTCCTGGGTACCCAGACTCCCTGTGGGAACTTTGCTCTCTCTCCATCTGGGAGCTAACGAGTGTTCCCCATTTCCGGTCTTTCTCCTTTCCTTGGGCACCTAGTTTTCTGTCCCAGGTGATATTTGTTCCTTTTGCTCCCCTCCGTCGGCCCATCATAGGATGAGGGACACCAGCCTCGGTGCGGAGGGGACAGTGCCCTGTTTCCCCCCATTTCCTCGGCTAACCCGAGGGTGGCCGCTTCCGTGTCTGGGCGATTAGCCTCATGTTGTGTTTGTCGGTTCCTGTAAATGCGAGGAGCCTGTTTGTAACTTTTCCGGGCGGAGCCAGAAGCCCTTTTGTGGGTGTCCCACAGGCGCAGCCGTCAGAGGGGCCTCCCCCCAGCTTCCTAGGTGGCCCCTGCTGCCCTTTTGGGTGGGGGCAGTGTTTCCTCGGTGACTTGATGCATTTCCTTTCGCTGTCCTGTTTTTGGAGCTGTTCCAAGCCCTACTCAAGCCCATGACAGTGACTTTTCCCTTCATCATGGGCAAGGACTTGGGGAGGCCATAGGTGGTCACCGCTGGCTGGAGGCAACGCCAGGCTGGAGGAGACCTCCAGGAGTGAGAGGAGGGGTCAGCAGGAACGTCAGAGCAGAGGGTCTGGGGGTCCAAGCCAGTGCCCCCTGCTGGCATCTGTACTTTTTTCCACAGTCCAAGGGGGTCAGAGAAGCCCCCGCCCATCACAAGCCTTTGACACCACCCTCCACTCCATGTCCCTGGGGCCAACACCACACACCCCTCTCACCTCCCCCCTAATAAATCCCAGTGTGGCCAGCAGGTTGGTCACCATTAGTGCTGAACCATAAGGTTTGTGGACCAGGTGGCACAATATCCTGGTTAAACATGAGGATGCTGCCTGTAGGTAAAATCGAGAAACCACTCTGAGAGCTGGGGGATGGGAAGGGGGTGCCCTTGTGCCGAATGAGGTTTGCACAGAAGAGAGCCAAATACTAGTGAGGAAGGAAATCCCTGCACAATTCGTTGGTTCTTAGCCAAAAGGGCTGAATAGCTCCTTTTTTTCCCACGTTAAAATTTTTCGTCTCTCTGTTACTCTGACCCGAGTCGTAGACGAGACAAAAGAAATGGAGGCACATACGAGCCATGTTTGTCTCTCCCTTGCAGACCTGAGAGGAAGCGGAGGGACCTTGGACAAGTTGCCAACGCCACCGTGTCCAGCCGGGGCAGGAACAGCACGGTGGCGGACAGCTACAACGCCACGGACACGGACGACCTGGAGACGGAATACCCCTTCTTTGAGAGCAGGGTGGACAACAAGGAGAGAACGGTCATTTCTAACCTCCGGCCGTTCACTCTGTACCGCATCGACATCCACAGCTGTAACCACGAGGCCGAGAAGCTGGGCTGCAGCGCCTCCAACTTCGTCTTTGCGAGAACCATGCCTGCAGGTACGGTGCGATCCAGCTGCACCCGCTCCCGGCTCCCTGCTTATTAAAGAACGGGTGCTCATCTGTGGGCAGCCGGGTTGACCAGCAGCCCAGGGAGTGGGGTCCAGTCGTGGTGACATCACTCCCATTCCCAGAATCTCCATACAAAATACTCAAGAGCAGGGAGCTTGCTCCAAAGTCAACTCTCCGTGGTTCACAGTGTGCATTTCCGTGGCCCTTTTCCCCACCTGTACAGAGGTCCCTCCTGAGTTCTCACAGGTTCAATGAAATCCCCAGTTAGCTGCCTTGGTTCTTAGTGACCTGCGCTCCTCAAGGTCATCTTCTGGGGCAGCCTTCGGTCCTGCTTATTTGGCCTTCACCATCCCCTTGTAGGTTAGAAGCTGCCTGTTGCTCAGACAGCCGTCCACCTGTCTTTAAGGATAGATGAACTGCCTGGCTCCCTTTCCTGCTGGAGGCGGCAGGAGGTGACTGAGGCTGGCATTTGAGACTTGCAGGCCATCCCATTGCCCTCACTCCCAGACCTCTGCTGCTTGTGAGCAGCCAGCCCACAGGGACTCTGTGGTCGCCGTCCTCAGTCCTGGATTGGGGGCGGGTCCCCGTAGGTAAGCCCGGTGCTGGTGTCCCTCCTGGGGGACCCAAAGCCAACTTCATTGCTTGTTTGTATTATTACACAGAAGGAGCAGATGACATTCCTGGGCCGGTGACCTGGGAGCCGAGGCCTGAAAACTCCATCTTTTTAAAGTGGTCGGAACCTGAGAATCCCAACGGACTGATTCTCATGTACGAAATAAAATATGGATCACAGATCGAGGTAAGATCACAGATCGGGGCCAGTGTCCGTGTCTGGGTGTGTCTCCAGTATAGCTGATCACGTAGGTGACAGTGTGACAGGCCCCACCTGGTTAGTTGAAGATCAAAAAATAAAATAAAGGCTAAGTCAGCGATGGTTTAGGTCCTTCTACCTGTTTGCATCTTTGAGAAGAGCGTGGACTATGCAGGGAGCTGGGCTTGTCACCCTCAGGAAGCTGTTTCGTTGCACAAAATGATCCTTCGGCATAGGCTAGATTGGTCTTAATAACTTTTGATCTTCTGGGAGCTCTTTTTGGTTACCAAAAATAAAAAGTGTGGTTAAAACTTGGATGTGCTGAAGGTTCCTGGAGGACTGACTGCCGTTTAGGACTTGGTTTCGTCCCTTTTGTTGCAAATCGGGCTCCCTGTCGGGAGGGCTGAGACTAGGTGGCGAGAGCCAGCCGTTTCGCCCGTGTCTGCGGGAAACCGACCCGTGTCTTGCCCCGCAGGACCAGCGGGAGTGCGTGCCCAGGCAGGAGTACAGGAAGCTCGGCGGGGCCAAGCTGAACCGGCTCAACCCGGGCAACTACACGGCGCGCATCCAGGCCACCTCTCTGTCTGGGAACGGGTCGTGGACGGAGCCCGTGTTCTTCTACGTCCAGGCCAAAAGTAAGGCTGGTGGAGGGAGTCGCTGGGGCGAAAAAGCATGGGCCGGGTCTGGGGATGCCGGGGTGGCCCTGGCTCTTTGGTTTTCTGGTTTTCCATCAGAACCAAGTTGGCCAGCTTCCCCGAGGGGTTCCACCCCTGTCAGCACCCCGAGCTTCAATCCTATGAAATGCCTCTCCAGACTTTCCTTTGCCAGCCTCCATCGTCTCAGGTCTTCGGGCCTGTTCTCGTAGCCCAGCCCCAGAGACCAGTTTTCTAGCCACCGAGTCATTCTGCTCATCCCTGGCTGGGCTCCAGTTTCTCCATGTCCCCGTGGACATGTGGAGCTTGAAGAGAACACAGTGCAACCCGACCAGTAGTATCGGCGATACCAAAATAAGAAATAGTCCTTGGTGGGGAAGTAACAAAAAAAACAGCTTCCCAAAGGCAGTGATAACTTGCGAGTATTCTCGACAGAAAATGCAGGAGCTTCCATCCATTTTGAGAGCTATTTGATAAAAATGTCGGTAATTTAAGAATTAAAATAGCTTGAATAGTCCGGAAAGAGTAATAATAGTGATAGTTTTCAGTGGTGAGAAGACCACTGATGGGTGACTTACAGGGATGCAACTAGGTCCCCCTCCCCTGGTTTCCACCCCGTTTCCACATAGATGGCTCTACCGGGGTGTCCTGTGAGCACCCACAACTCCCCCTGCACAAAACCAAAAATCACACTTGATAACCTCAAAGTATCTCTCTGTCCTTTGTTCTTGAGCTCAGTCAGTGACCCCATAATCCATGCACCGCCTAAGCCAGGACCCTCACCCTTCTTTCTCCCCAGCCCCCCATTTCTCGCTCAAACCCATCTCATTGGTTTGCCCTTTAAATAACTCTGGAATCCATTCTCTGCTGCCACCAACACTGCCTCAGCCCGGAGCCTCCATCCAGCACACTTGCTTTGGGGGGAATGTATGAGCTGTGGGTGCAGGAGGCCTGGGTTCTGATCCCGCGGCCCTGGCTGACCCAGGGGAGGGCTGCCCATCTCGTGAGTCTCCCTCAGTCATGGAAAAGGAGCCGTGACTTCTTGGTGAGGTCTGGGCTGGTTAGCGCAGGACACGCCCAGGTCCCCTCCTACCCCCAGCACTCTCCAACACATGGCAGGGCCCCCTCCTCTGTGCCAGCCCCCTCCAGGCTGTCCTCGGGCACAGCCGTCTCTCCCCACACCAATCTGATCAGTCCATCTGGGACTTGTGAGCCCTCCCTGGCTCCTTTGAATCTGCAGAAAGAAGTTCAAACTGCTTAGCGTGGATGAGGCCCCTGGGGAGCCGGCCCTGCCTTCTCTCCTCAGTCCTCTGCGCCTGGGAAGCTTCCCCTGATTCCCTCTCCTCTCCCCTCTGCCCATATCCCTTTCTGGCGGTGACTCTACCTGTGGCGTATCGATTTCCTGCATCTGGCAGAATTTTCGGGGTGTGGATCAGTGTCCCCTGTCCAGTCTAACATCAGGGATGGGCTGGGGCTGCAGTTAAGCTCTGTGCTCCCAGACTCCTAACTACACTCTGATGTTTGAAGGGAATTTAGAGCAACTTTGGCAAGGGGTGCCATCCAGCTATGTCTTTGTTTTTTTAATATAACTTTTTTATTTTAACTTTAAAAAAAAAATGTGTCTTTATTGATTTCAGAGAGAGGAAGGGAGAGGGAGAGAGAGAGAGAAACGTCAGTGATGAGAGAGTCATTGATCGGCTGCCTCCTGCACGCCCCCTGCTGGGGATGGAGCCTGAAACCCCAGCACATGCCCTGACCGGGAATCGAACCTCGATCTCCTGGATCCTAAGTCGATGCTCAACCGCTGAGCCACACGGGTTGGGTTCTTTGTGTTTTTTTTAAATTGTCTGTGGCACTGATTTAACACAGATAAAAGGCCAGTTCAGCTCGGGCAGTGTACGTGTAAGGATCTCTTTGCATTTTATTCCAGCCAATGTATGCATTCCCGTTTACAGGCATTAAACCGCGTGCAAAGGTTATTTTTCTTGAGCCCGTCGTTCAAACTGTTGTTTCAGAGTTACCCTGCACTTTAAAAGTCAAACGGGTGCACTCCTCAGTCCGCTCTCACTTAATCTTTTTTCAAATAATGCCGTGTTTTTGCTCTCATTTACGATCCTGTTTGCCTTCAGACTTCCTTCGGGGATTTTTGTTTCCTATGTCTAGCGACTTATTTAAAAAAATGCATTGAGTGGCTTGTTGACCTCGTGGCGCCTGACCGTCCCCTTTGCTTTTCTGCAGCGACCTACGAGGGTTTCACACACCTGGTCATCGCGCTCCCGGTGGCCATCGTCCTGATAGTGGGGGGGCTGGTCATCATGCTTTACGTCTTCCACAGGAAGAGGTGAGTGACACGGTGGGACCTTCAGAGAGTCGGGGGGCTAAGTGGTTCAACGATGGGAACCTGAGCTAGGGTCAGGTACTTGAGGAAATGGTTTACGGCTCGGAAAACCTGATTTTCCCAATTAAATGTGCTTCCAAATGTGATTTTTCCAATGAAAGGAACAGAGCACATTTTCCTAAAGCTTTCCCACACCTGCCCCGTTGGCCCTGTTGATCCAGTCACCCTTTAATTTCCAGCAACATCAGAGGTGATTGTTTCTTTCAAAGCTCTCTGAGGCCACCGAGCTCTGCTCACCCCCTCTCCTAAAACAGACGTAATAAAGATGCACGTGTACGCGGAAATGTGCGGGGACGGGCTTTGTAGGCTAAACGTTGTCCCCTGTGGCAGGAACGGCGGCAGGCTGGGCAACGGAGTCCTGTACGCGTCCGTGAACCCCGAGTATTTCAGCGCGGCCGACGGTAAGCCTCAGCTCGCCGCGTGGGCCGGGGCGGGAGCGCTCGGGAGCGGGGCCGAGTCAGGCCCCGGGGGCCGCGTTACCTGGAGGTAACCTGCCTTCGTTCACACTCCTTTTTTAAAAAAAAATTGGAGTTTTTAGCAGTTTGCCAAATATCTAGAAAATTCTGGACCGCTTGGGGTGCTCCGCGGGAAAACAGGCTTAGAGATGAATGTGGCCGGCGCGCAGTAATCAATCTCTTTAATGGCTCTGGGATTTTATGCTGGAATGAGAAGAGCTGTCATTGGATTGTGGACACACAGCGGCAGATATGCTTTAGCTGACAGCACAGTCCCTTTTTGGAGCTAGTTTCGGCCGGAGTTTCATATCATCGTAATTGTCTGTGATCGCTTGTGGCTTCTCTGTCTGCATTTTTTTTTTTATCTTGCAGTTTTTTGGCTCATTCCCTCCTGACCGGGGTCCTAGGATTTATACCCTCACGGCCGGTCCGCGGTCCTTTTGGTCTGACTGATGGGGGCCATTTGGCTAACTGGCCGAGAAGGTCCCACTTGGGAGTTGGGTTGTATTTGATGGTTATTTCTTTTCTTTTTTTTCTGTCTTTTCTCCCTACGGTCCTTAAGTCTAGGAAAGTAAGTTGGGGCGGGGCACTGGCCATCGGGTCCGGCGACACTGGTACCATTCAGGGGCACTTGGCTTTGTCCCCTTTGATCCTGGAAGGTGGCCTTTTGCATGCCCGTCTGCCTGTCTGTCCCTAGGTGGGGCAATGCAGGGCCACACCCTCTGTCTGCAAAGTTGGCGCGAGACTGTTCTAGAGAATCCGCTCCGCTTTTAAATGAAGCGGAGACTGGCCCTTGTCGCTTTGAGGGCAAGTGTTCCGGAAGTTTGGAGAGAGCACGGAGACAGTAATACAGGCGCGGTGATCTGGATGCCGACTGTGCGTCTTTCCGGAATGCTTTCAAAACGTGTCCCGGTTCTTCATTAAAAACAAAATAAACAGAAAGCGAACTTACTGTCCCCACATCCGAACTTAATGTATTTGGCCTTTTGACAAGCGCCTCATAGCTTAGTGTCCTCAAGGGGCAACACAGTGACATGGCAGTTCAGAAATGCTTTAAAAAATCCCTTCTCCGAAAGCTAATCTGCGTGTCACGCTCTCCAGGGCACCCTGACAGTCCCCACAGGCAAGTGCTGATAACATTGTGCCCAGGCGCTGGCCGAAGTCAGGGCTGTTGGGCTGAATTTAGAGACAGGGATTATAGGTACTGGCTTCAGGGACCTGCAGGGAATGGGTGTGACTGGTTCTAACTGCGCGTTTTACCGGGTGCTGCATAGGTGCTTCTGATTAAAAGCAAGCCTGGATTTTCTGAGATAAATGGATATAGACGGTCTCTTTATACTTTCTGAGGGGTGTTGTGAGTTATCTGCAGGTTGTCTCACATACGTGCTCCCCTAAGCAAGCATCGGCCCCTTCTCTGGGGCTGGAAACCATCTAAGCCACATGGAGGGGCCCCTTCCCTTTGTGAAATTCTTAAGCACATATGTACTGTGGAATGTGAAAATATGGGTGAAAGAAAATTCTAGACAGACTAATACAGTCCCTGTCAGACACTCCTCAGGTTCCCTCTCAGATACTGGGCTATCTCCTGGGTCTCATTTGTAGGCCTCTTTAAGACAGCACTTAGTGGTAAATACTGAGGACTTGGGGTGTTGGAATACAGGTGCCAGCCCCCGGCTCCTGGCACATCCAGCTGAGGCCCAAGGTTAACGTCTGAAAGCACAAAAGCAAACAGGTGCCACCCCAGGTCCCAGTCCTTCTGCGTTTCTGAGCCAGGATCGCATCCTTTCTCCCACCGAGTCGCCCTGCAGCCTGCGAGGGCCCCCCAGGCAGGGCGGCAACGCAGCTTCCGACGAAGATTCTGATGGAAATTTCTTACGGAGCTTATGGAGCAGGTTGATTTCATTTTACTTTTCTCCCTACGCATCGGATCTGTGCAATGGGTCCTGTTTTGTTTTCTTTCATCCCTCCCCCTTCCTTCCTGCCTAGAATGATTTGTTTATTTATTTTCTTAAACCAGATTGAATATGACCAGAAGCGCAGGCCGGAGAGGAAACCTATTCAGGCTCAGTCATTACCCCCCGGCCCCTTGCCACAGTAGGGGGATGTCCCCGAGTTCACAGGGCCCAGGCCAAAGCCCTGGGGAGACGCCTCTGCTCAGAAGTGTCCCTCCACGCTGGTCACCACGGATGCCCTCGGTGCCTGGGCTCAGTTGCTTCTGGGCCTTACCAGATGCCCCAGGTCCTTGGCGAGACTGGAGACACTCTGCCTAGACCAGACCGCTGCTCCCAATGGAAATATAACTCCCAGCCCCATATTTTTCATGGTAGCCACATGAAAAAGTTAAAAGAAGCAGGTGAAATCAATGTTAGCCGTATGTTTTAAGCCCGAATTATCCGTTNGTCAATGTTAGGCATATGTTTTAAGCCCAAATTATCCGTTTTTAATATGTAAGCGGTGTCAAAACGGTTGAAATATTTACACTATTTTTTTGCGCTCCGTCTTTGAAACCCAGGGTGGATTTTATACTTAGAGCACGACCCCAGTTGGCCTACTTCCCGGCCCTCATTATGTGCTGTTAGCATCCTCGGATTTTCTAGGACTCCTTGAGGGTTTGAGATCCCAGCATTTGAGGGGTCCGGCTGCCTTCTGAAATCCACAGCACGTGGGACGTTTCAGAGCGGGACACCGCTGTCCCCCGGTGTCCTCCTCGGCGGGCTGTAGGAAGGGGCATCTTGTACCCGCCGCCCCAGAGGCGCCCCCAGGGGCCCCTGCTGCGCCCGTCTCAGTCCCCGCCTGTCCTTCGCAGTGTACGTGCCCGACGAGTGGGAGGTGGCCCGGGAGAAGATCACCATGAACCGGGAGCTGGGGCAGGGCTCCTTCGGGATGGTGTACGAAGGAGTTGCCAAGGGCGTGGTGAAGGATGAGCCCGAGACCCGGGTGGCCATTAAGACGGTCAACGAGTCGGCGAGCATGCGTGAGAGGATCGAATTTCTCAATGAGGCTTCGGTGATGAAGGAGTTCAACTGTCACCACGTGGTAAGAGAAGGCAAACCTGACACGGGGAGAGTGTGTCACCAGAGTCCCCGGGGTGGCAGTGGTCACTTGTGCGTTCAGTGACTCCCCCATCTGGCACCCGGCGTCCCCAGTCACCTCACTGCTGCCTTCAGACGCCTGTGCATGGGGGGGGGGGCGCCCTCTGGGTGTGACGCAGGCCCTGGAGCCCTGTGGCCCTGCCCCTGGTGTGGGGGAGCGACAGGCGTGGGTGCCCCTCACCCCCTGAGTTGTCCTCTCTGCCATTCCTCCAGGTGCGCTTGCTGGGCGTGGTGTCCCAGGGCCAGCCGACCCTGGTCATCATGGAGCTCATGACTCGGGGTGATCTCAAAAGTTATCTCCGGTCCCTGCGTCCAGAACTGGAGGTGGGTTTTGATTTTAACGGACTTCGCACGTTACCTGTTCTCTTCCGTTGAGAGCCTTCCCCCCAGAAGATACTGTGTCTTGAAACCCGTTCACGTTGAAGGTTCCTGGCAGCGCGCTTGGCTGTAGGTCCTTTACGGGGACAGGTCCCTCCTGCACGGCCATCCCTCCCTCATTCCGCCTGGAGACCCACGGCAGCGCCGCGTCCTCCGTGACGCCTGGCCTGTCCCCCAGCCAGGAGTCGCCCTCTCCTCGCAGCCTCCTACCCCTTTGCCGGGCCTTTTGTGTGGTTTCCCGAGTGTGTCCCTGTCTCATCCTGGGCACCGCCTGCAGTTCAGGGCTGGGTTGGTGGCAGGCTGCCTTGCACCAAGTGGGTGTCAGAGTTCAACGTCAGTTTGAGTTGGGGTGCACAGGCCCCCTCCCGCCCCACACGTGCCCTTCCCTGAAGTCTGCGCCTTCGAGACCAGGAAGCTGAACTTGTCAGGCTCTGCCCCTGGGGCTCAGGCCGCGTCCTGAGTCTTGCCTGTGCTCCGGGATGACAGCCGCCTCAGCGGCACGATCTCAGCTCCGTCTAGTAAAAAAAAAAACACCAGTCTCTGTTACGAGCTTCGAATTCTAAGCCTGCCGTTTGTCATTTGTCACCCTGGCGTCCCCCCTCCTGTCGCATGAACCCGCAAGCCCACTTTCTAACACATGGGGGCCTGACTCCTAAGGGAGTAATTCTAAGAACAGACTGGTGGATAAATTCTTAGAAATAACACCAGGAACATCTGCCTCTCGTCTGGCAGCCTCGGTGGTCCGAGTGCGCGCTGTGACCCTGACTCTGCCGGGCTGAGGAGCTCTGTTGGGGCCGCTCGTGTTCCCAGAACGCTCCCCGTTCCCCACCCCTCTTGAGTTTCTGCAGCCCGTCTCTGTTTGAGCTTAATCTTTTGTTGCCTTCTTTTAATTCGTAGCTTAACCGTGTCCCAAGTAGCAGTTCCTTAATTCCAGTTCCGAGTACCTGTTCACGCGCGGCCTCGTCAGTCACGGCAGCTGAGCTGGGCTCCCCACGTGCCCACCCTCCGCTCCACGCAGCAGGGGTCCCCGGCCCCCCGTTTTGCCCGACCCAGAATAGAAAACGCTCGTCCCAAGCTGTGCGGATCGGTGTTTCTCTCGCAGCTCTGTCATGTGGGTGGCCAGCAGGCGCGTGACTTGACCGCGAGGCAGATGCTATGGCCTCTGTAATGACATGTTCCTTCTGAGCAAGTCCTGATCCCCCAGGAGAATGACCTGGGCTGCCCAGACTGAGCAAAGTTGGATTTGCAAACCCAGAAAGAATGTGGGGAGGAAAAAAATGCCTAGATTCTCACGTGATTTTTTTTTTTTTTCCTTTTACTCTCCAACAGAGAAACCCCTCCCTCTCACCTCCTAGCCTGAGCAAGATGATCCAGATGGCCGGCGAGATTGCAGATGGCATGGCGTACCTCAATGCCAACAAGTTCGTCCACAGAGACCTTGCTGCCCGGAACTGCATGGTGGCCGAAGATTTGACTGTCAAAATCGGAGGTATGTCCTTAGCTTCTCAGATCTGAGCAAGAATTCAACTCACGCGTATTTTAGGGGCCCGAGTCGGCGTTAGGGTGCCTGTGGGGCGGTTTTCAGTGCAGCCTGTGAGCGCAGAGGCTCCTAGGTTGTAATGTCATCGCCTCCAGTTGATAGTCACAGGCCCAGCCGGGCTGGCTCTGATCCTGACAGCGTGTGGGCACCGCGGCCCAGGTAGTGGGCAAGGCTGAGCTGAGGCCAAGGCCCCTCAGTTGCTTCTCCTGGTGTTTGCGGCATTTCTTGGCAGAACAATTCTAAGCATTGGTTACCGAAGTAATCAAGGCAGTGTCCTTGGGTGACTTTGCCTTGGGAATAAAAGTTGCCTTCCAAAGTACCAATATTTCCTCCAGTTTTCTGAGGATACACGGAGCATTTTCATCCCCCCCCCCCCC